AATTAAATCGCGTATTTGATATTAATTAGTTTGAACCTCTTATATGCAACACGGCGCCTCACCGGACGCAAGGAGCATCAACGGCGAGGATTCAAGGCCACCGGCAAAGGAGAGGACTTGGAGTACAGGCGATTCGACGCAGGAGCTAAGGGGGCATGCACCGGGCACGCGGCGATCAGGTGACGGAGCGCGCACACGCGGAGCGCGTGACCACGCGCAAGGATACGAGAGCCGCCAGGGGCGCGACAAGGAAGGCTGGCGCAGGATCTGAGGCCTGCGAAGAGCGATACGGCCTACGATTTCTCCAGGACCCGGGGCCATCGCCGAGAGCTGCCGGGACGAGATGGCCAAATCGTCCCGGATCGAAGGGCAAAGAATGCGTCCACCAGATGCCACGCCGCCGCATCCAGGAAATAGGGCGGCCTCGCGAGGACGCGAGGCGCCCGCATGAAAATTCGCTAAATACGCCCGTGCCACAGCCGGACCCCCGCGGAGCGCCGTGATTGGTCGCGACCGTATGCACCGCTATGTTGCGCACCCCCGGGCTGGGGGTGCAGCCATCGATCGCGTATCGACTGCGATCTACGTCGCTTTTGCGTGCGAGCAGTGATAGCGAGCGGAGAGTCGAGCGAGCGAGTGATTGAGCAAGCGAGACAGCGAGACATAGAGGACGAGAGGCTACCGGCCCGGAAGTATCTACGAGGTCGTCGAGAGGATAATCGTGCCGATGAGGTGATCCTCTGTAGTAAAGTGCTGTAAAGCCACGGGCAGGTCGAGGAGCGTGCTCGCATTCTGCGGACGAATACGCCATTTTTGTGTTAGAGTTCGGTCGCGTACGCTCTTCTGGCGACGCGTAACTCGTAGAGTTTGCGTGGTGGCATCCGTCCCCAAGTGCGGGAGTTCCTTCAGGATCCTGCCGTGGGTTGCCGAAAGTATCGAATGTCGAGCCGCCCGGAGATCATCACCGCGAGTCTGCCGCAAAGCCCTCGCGCACGAGTGCGCGAGTCATAGTAAGTGCGCGTGTAATTTACTTTGCGGTCGAGTAATAGTCTCGGGTGTCACACCCGCACGAGTGAATTTATCGTATAGTTGCATATGTAACGTGTGCATTTTTGTTATTTCGTCCGTGACGCCCGTCTATCATCACGATTATTTGTTCTTAATTGCGTGCGCGGTATCTGCATAGCACCGAGATTTATTCTTACGTTGTATTCGAGTGTCGTATTGTTTCGGTCGCGTTTTGTTCTGTTGATTCGAATACGAGTAAGTCTGTCGAACCTGATTGTAAGTTACGTTAAGCGTCGAAATATATCCGTTTTCGTTCCGCGGGCGCGAGTGTGCGTATTCGCCACGCCGACGCACTCATTATTGCCTTTTTCCGTGTACGAGGCATTGAGCCGAATAATCTTTTGCTTCTGCGCTTTACTTTTCGATTTCGGACGGCACTATTTCGTTCTCGTCGCCAGATTATTCTCAGTTACGTATCGCCAAATCGTTTACTTTCCTTTGCATTTTTTGGAAATTTACTATTCTTGTTAATAATATTTCTCTTCATTATTTTATATCGCTTTGCCAAGTGTTTATTAGATAACTCTGATATTTTAATCGTCGAATACGAGTTCTTTCGCCCGCTCACCACCATCCTGTCGAAAATAAAATAACTCGCCCTTAGTCTCCGTCCTGCCTCTCTATCGTTAGATAGAGCCGGCCGGCCCTCACGCGATCGACCTCGGGAGGAGCATTCGTTTTGGATTTCGGGTATCGTCGAGTGCAAGTGTATTTTTCGCCCTATCGTGCTAACTCTGAGTTTCGCGAGTGACGTTGCCATCGAGCACGTCTGATGCCCAACTTTCGCGTCGCGACTTCACGTCGATCGCAGGAGGGATGTAAGTCAGAGGGCTAAGACCTTCCCTCCCGAAATTGCCTACAATTTCCCTCTTTGTTTTTGATCCGCGCTCGCGTGAGCCTCAAAATTTGCCGAACGCGTGACAGTATATCTCTAGTGTGTTCATTTTCGGTGACCTCAATTAATCCCAGATGGTGCAATGAGATTACTGTAGCTGCCATTGCGTGTAGGATCACATTTCTCACACAAGTTCCATCACTTCCTGGTAATATTTCAAATAAATTATTACTAAAATTCAATGTCGAATCATCCTTTACTATTACGACCCCCGATAATTCAGTGATCGTCCGTCTTATCATTACTGGTACATTCTGCGCGTCGCGTGGTACAATTATAGCTTTCAGAGTAATCGCTACGTTGTCTATTACTAGCCGGACCGTCAATGATCCCATAGAAGTTCAACCATTTCCGTAATCCCGCAGGACGATCTGATTTGGACAATGTGCAGTCCTAGCCGTCGAAAGGAGAATCTCAATTGGATACTAGAATGGTCCTTATTTTTCGAGTTATGGAATTATTTTAGTCTCATAGTTCAGAATGATTTTTTTATAAAAAAACAATTCCTAAAATTTCAGCTCAATCGGATAACGGAAAAGGATGCCAAAGAATAATTGATTTTTTAGGATAAATGTGTATTTTAAATAAAATTTTTTAAATAAAACTCCCAATTTTTTATTGCGTATTTTTGTAGCTTATTTCGAGAATTTTCTAAAATACTTAGATAAAATGTTTTTTGATTAAGTAAATCTCGAGTTGTGAAGCTTGAAAGTTATATAGTATCACCACATTAGCATTATCCAAGATGTCCGAACAATGGCCAAAACCTTTTGAATGTTGCTCAGGAACATGAACTTGACATACATATACAGGGTGTCAAGGACAAAATAAACTTTTGTCCTTAAAATGTCATATTCCTGACTCAATTCTGAGAAGATTTTTCCTTTACCAAAATTTTATCCGAAGCTTAGTTTTCAAATTATAACAAGAATAGTTAGCGAATTATGGGCCGCGTATGGAAGGTAGACAGGGGCGCGCAACTTACTGTCGGACGCAGGCGGTACGCGGGGCTCTCACGACGATCAGCTGACTGCTACACGCGCGCACTGCTATCTCTTGCTCACACACACACACACACACACACGCACGCACGCACGCACGCACGCACGCACGCACGCACGCACGCACGCACGCACGCACACACAAAACCTTACCTTGTGAAAGTCGACTTCTGTAGCTTCTCGAAAAAGATGGATGAATTCCTATTTTCATGTGATTTCCACGTAATAAATGTTTATTTTAATAAATTTTCGATAGTTTTAATGTCACAAGTTATCATTGACTGACACTGATCAAATAATTAATTAGTTAATCCTTTTTTTTACAAACCGTGTCACTTCAACTTTTCACACTTGATTCACATACAAACTATTTACTTGAAGAAATCAGGAGAAATCTATTAATGTATCTACTAATTAATATCCGTTACGTACTTTACAATCACTGTCGATTAATTACCCGTTCATTGAAAAATCACACGAAGAAAGAAACACGCGACAATTTACTAATACACGACGATTTACTGACATTTGAGACGTTCACTCGACGATAGCAAGCGGTGCGCTTCTGATTATGATTTCAACTAATCACATTCGCGTTTCGACAGCGCTACAAATCTAACCAATAAAATCAGTCGACTGCTTGCTATCGTCGAGTGAATGCCTTGTGTGACAGTAAATCGTGCGCGTATTTTTTTCCTCGAATAAGTTTTTAATCGACGAATAATTAATCGACATTGATTGATAATTATTAACAACTTAATACATCCGGTATTAAAGTCAGTCGATTATTGCTTGCTATATTGTTAAGCGAACGCCTCGTGTGTCAGTAAATTGTCGTATGTTAGTAAATAGTGCGTGTGTTTCTTTCCTCGTGTGAGTTTTTAATCGACAAATAATTAATCGATTTGATTGATAATTATTAACTACTTAAGGCGATGCTGAAAAGTCGAAAATACCGACATATTGCAGTTCAGTTAATTTCTCCAAATTGGCTGAACGGAACTAAAAATCTTTTTACAGGGTTGAAATAGACATGAAATTGTTAGACGGTCAAATTTGTAATAAAATCAGAAAAAAAATTAAAAAATTACATTTTTTCGGATCGTACAGCTGACACCTAACCATAACCTGACATAAACATTTCATTAGTGTAAAAGTTCTGTAGCTCATATGTACAAAATGCTTACGTCTAACACCACATATTACATGAACAAATAATATAAAGCCTTTTGAGCTACGATTGAAAGCGTAGAAAAATAGATATCCACTGAACTGCAATTTGTGGTAATTCGTACGCAATATAACCAAAATACGGAATAGTAAAAACAGCAAAAATCGTATCTAGTAGTAAGTGCCGGATTATGCAAGAAATGGCGTTTCAATAAGTTAGATAAGAACAATGTACGTGTTTGACTGAGACAGAAGTATTGTAAGAAGTTCATTTAGA